AATGCTAATGAATCCTACAAAGGATCTGTGGTGGTCAATAGAGGGCAGAGATGGCAGCAAGGCCAAGAGATGGAGCCTGGTGAAGAGCAAGGTCACCAGTTTGACCAGCTCTATAACCAAGAGGCAATGGGGCTTGGCCTTGCAGACATCTCTGGCAAAGGCTTTGGGAAAGGCCAGCTCAAGGGCAAGGAAAGCTCTGGAAAGGGCAAGGGCAAAGGCTTTGGAAAAGGCAACAAGAAGTCTGAGCTGTTGGCCATCAAAGACAATGAGGGTCAGGAGGAGGGAGAAGAAGAGGAAGGGGAAGACACACTGAAGGAAGCTTTGAAAAAGGCGAGGAGGGCCAGAGACCAAGTTGCAAGTGTCCAAAGTGATTTGGAAGAGGCTTTGGGAAAGGCCAGCTCCAGATTGAGCCAGAAGGGCAAAGCTGGAGCCCAGGGTTGGTCCACCTCGCTCAGCAAGATGTTGGCGCAGCTGAAAACGGTTCTGAATGGCAAGAAGGAAGTCAAACCCCAAGCTGTGAAGCAGCTTCTGGAGGAAACTGCCAAAGTTGTGAAAGGTGCAAAGAATGAAACAAAGGAGAAGAGGTTGTCCTTGGGTGGTGCTTTTCTCAAGAGCTATGCCTGGCTCAATGCATGGTCTTTGGAAAAGGACAGAAAGTCATTCCACATAGTGGCCAAGCACCATTCCTTTTTGCATCTGCTATGGAATTCAAAGCATCTCAATCCAAAGCTCCATTGGTGCTTTCAAGGGGAAGACTTTGTAGGTCAAATCAGTAAGCTGACCCATTCAGTCTCAACGGGGGTGTCTTCCACAAGATTCAAGGTGGTGGGCAAGTGCAGAATACTAACCCACCTCTTCTTGACCAGATCCATGCAAGACATGGAGGAAGGCTACACAGATGAAGTTTGACTTTGGAAAAGGTTGAAGCCTTGGGAAGACACCTCTTGCGCCAGCTTGCTGAGTTGGAGCAGTTTTGGAAAAGACTGCAGCAGCTTTGGAAAAGGTTGCTCCAGTTTTTTTTGCAGTCTGCAAGTTCAAAGAAACTTGCTGCATGTACTTTGGCATTGTGGAAAACTGTCAGCTGTGTGGTGTGTTTTCACTGTTTTTTTGAAATGTGTTTTCTTGAGTTTCTTTTTTGTTTCTTGTTGATTTTCGTTTTGAATTTTGCTGTTGAAACCTACTCTTTTTCTATTTGATTTTGCCTTTAAAGAATCAAATTGAGAGAATTGATTTGCCAACCCTTAAAATCAAATGTTTTGATTCTAATCAAAAAGCGATGCTCAGGGTTTATGTAATATATAAATATTTATCTTAGTTGATTCTTATGGTTGCCCCGGAGTGGGTGAGGAGCATGGGACAGTTCCACCCCAAGAGGATCGCTTCCGATGTGGTCGGGGTCATCAAGAGGAACTTGATTTCCTATTCGATGGCATCCGACCTGAGGTTGACGGTGCAGAGCGGCATCCGGTTGCCTCCCGATCTCGGGGAAGATAAGGGTGGAGTCGACGTGGCGTGGGATGAAATGGCGAAGGTGCTCTTTCAGTTCTCCTACGTGTCGGGCATCTTGGCATCGGACGCTTTCGTGGAAAAGTGGGTGGCAAAGCACCTGATCAAAACCAACCAAATCGATAGATTTGAGTCGGTGACTGAGTACTTCCGAGCGAATCCGGCGCATGCAGCCCAATGGGGAAGACGTATATGACGACTTCCGTTAGGAAGTTCGCTCGTCATGACACATATTTGTCCTTCTACATTCCGATGGCTTATATGATCGGTGCTGCTGCGGGTCATCTGACTCCGATGTATCCAACCCCATAGGAAGGATGCAGATATCCTGGCTAGTCATCGGCTGATGGCTGATATCAGGAACTACATGGTCTTGTCGACGGGGTACGACGAGAAGAAAAGGCTGAGGGAGGCGATTGCCAAGGCGCAGAAGGCGATCAATGATGGACGGTCAGAGCCTCCTGTCCCTTTCCGTGATCCATTCGTCTACGTTAGTGACGAAAATGAGGACCGCCGTTGATGGTAAACAACCTGAGCAGACGTGAACATCGACGAGCTTCAGTCGGCGCATCATGCTGCACAGGGTCCTGGTCCCGACCCACGACCGAAGTCAGGTGAGGTATCGGGAAAAGGATCTGGCAAGGGCGATAGCTCCGCCGTTCCGAAAGCAAAGGGCAAGGCTGATGCTGGGCCGACTCCGATGGAAGTTGATCCACCTGAGGCTCAACCGAAGAAATCTTGGGTCGCGATCGCGGTTGAAGGAGCTCGGCCAAGTGCAAAGGCAACGACGACTCCAGCCCCAAAGGCCGAGCCAAAGGGAAAGGCGGGCGAAGAGCGCTCAGGCTTCGAGGGCTGAGTCCAAGGAGACGAAGCGAGCTGACCCGAAGGTTGAGGTCAAGAAGGAGAAGGGGAGCGGAGACGATGCTCCCGGCGATAGCCGGGGCTCGGCTGAAAAGCAAAAGAGGGAAAGAAAATCTCGCTGGGCTCCAGAGGTGCCTGCCAAGGAATCAACGAAGCGGGAGGCATCAAAGAGACCCGACGATGTTGACAGTAGGCCAGGTGCGGCGGCGAGAGAGGCGAGTGGAGATGATCTTCACTCTGCGCTTGGCAGATCTTCGGCAAAGGACGGCGGAGCGGGTTGCTGCGAGCCCGGTGGAAGGTCACTTCAGGACGCTACCGGATGCTTCGACGGTGGATGCTTTCCTGGCGATGTCCTCCAACAGGGTGCTCGCCAGACAGGTTAGAGACTTCATCAGGAACGGCGAGGAAGGCTCGGCGTTGGAAGTTCTCAACCAGCTTGTGGCAAACTCCCATGCAAAGCGGGCACGTCGAGGTACGGATGTCTCTCGCACGCCCTCCCGAAGGTCCGTTAGGACTCAGGATGCCAGGGATTTGCGAGAGTCGAGAAGGCGCAGGTGTCGACCGCGGAGAGACGAAGATCGTGATCGAAGGAGAGACGATTGTCGGGATCATCGCGGTGATGAATCGCTTGATCGGGACCGAGATCGAAGGAGGGACGATCGCAGGAGGTCCGAAAGGGATCGTGACAGGGACTGTGCGCGGGGCGGACGCGACCGGAGGAGACGTGATGACAGCCGGTAGGCGGCCGATAGGCTTGCGCCCGACCTCCAATGGTCGACGCTGCGGGGTGATGATCGCCATCCTCCCGCACCGCTGAGGCGCGGAGTTCATGTCTCTCCTGCACCGCTGCTCGGCTGGTCAATGAAGTAGTGTGAGTGAGAGAGGATGCAAACTGGTGGAGGATACTCCCAGGTTTGCGGAATTTGTTTGTTTTACAGGCGCGCATGACCAGGAGTACTTCTTGCCGATAGGCGAGGGTACTAATGGACATACGTTATCCTTTGTTTCATGGCTTCTGATAAGAATTGAACTACTTGCATTTCTGATGCAAACAGTTGTGGCCTATTGCCGTCATGTGGACTCTTCCACAAGGTATGTTGGACAGCGTTACCCCGATTAATTCGGGATGGTGGCGGGAATTTAATGCCCGGGATGTCGCGCGACTGCCTTTGTGGGTTTGCTCCACCGCTGACGGCGGTAGTGTCCAGCTGTTTGCGGACGTATGCGAGCTGCGAGCAGTTAAATCCTATCAGGAAATGGCACGCTCCACCCGTCATATGACGGGCTCCTCGTGAGGGGGGTGTGATTAGCCATGGTTTAAATCATCATCTGGGAAGTCGCGGTAGTGACTGACCGATGGTGTTTGGCTCAAGTTTATGGGTTCCGTCGCGCCTCGGATGGGCGTCACCGAACCCCTGCGTCGACCGCCGACATCTCGGGGGAGAAAGAGACCTCGGGCCGCCGTCAGGTTGGTAGGGACCATGCGTGCGGCCTGTCGTCGATCAAGGTTGCGGGTTAACCTTTTTCCCTTTTTGGTTGTTGTTCTCTGGTGTGTGGGAAACCCTGATCTTTGGGACCGGGGATTGGTTTGCTTTTGGGGAACCTTTCTTTGTGGCTTGTTTACCCCAACTAACCCATTGCCTGGGCACAGGTTCGTGCCCGAATCACACAGAGTTACTTCTGAGTTTCTTCAATCCAACAGGGAGTCGAATTGGATAGCCTGACTTTGTTTGGTTCGCACTGAACTCCTTAATGGTTGGAATACTGCCTTTTTCCTGGTTGTAGAGTCGAGGGCTTCTACAAACATTTGGGGCGGGCCAAAGCCAGCCAAGCCAGCCGATGGCGGAAACCAGCCATTTTGTTTGTTGCGCTTGTCTAGAACCTCAGATGAAATTCAGTTAGAAAAATATCATCCGACTCAGTCACTCTGAGCAAACTTCTCCGAACTCCTGAGCAAACCCATGGAACAATGCCACAACTGAGCAACTATAGCGATCCAAAGCCGCAACCACTCGCCCCAAATTGTATATGAAGGCAATGTTTAGGGCAACGGGATCAACATAATACATCCAATCTGGATATGGATGCCGGTATCCGACGTATCCCAATTCTCTGTACTTTCTGATTGGACGGTTCTTTGTCATTTTGGAGCTCGATGGACCTGGGTCCTGTTTTGACACGTGTTTTTCTTCTGGTGGTCAAGATTGAGCAAAGAGTAGCTTGGCTGCCACCCAAATTCAGACGATCAGGAAGTCCGCATCAGCAATTGACTGGGGTGATTATCCACTGAGCATGGCTAAAAGACAATCGCGGCCAGGGGGAGAAGAGGGGCCAGACATGATCCTGCAAAGATGCAACATGGAAAACGGCGCTTGCTGTCATGTGATGCTGAGTTTCAGTTTGCAGAAGCCTGGAATAGTGAAGTAGTACAGGTCCGGTTGATAGGCCAACACGGCGCTCCAAACAACTGCTTTCATTGGGGCACTTTTAATCAAGGTTGGGCAGCGCACGCAGTAACTTACGCACACACAAAAATAAGCATTGCTTGCCAGTACATAGAGGTGCATCAGCAAGGAGGTTGTGCAAGATTGCCATCACGAGCCGGAAAACTTCAGTGTACAGGAGGCCCTGGAGCCAAGCCCCTGAAGGCAGAGCCAAGGCCTCTCTAGAGCCTCTAGAGCCATGCCCCTTGACAAATCCCGCATCCAGGCACGGGTGCCGTCGTGCATTTCAAGTTGGAAGCACGTTTTTTCATGGCTGACACAAGCGAGTCCTTGCCAGAGTGTGCAAATGCGCCAAGTTTCAGATTCCAACGCATCACAGGTATCACACGCCTTGCTGAAGCAAGTTTGATTGACAGGGCTTTGGCAGCAGCAACGGCCCTGCGCAACAAGAGTCCTCCTGGTTCGCAAGCAGTTCGACACCCGCTCCACAGGCTCACAAACACGAAACGCTTGCGTGCCTGTTGCATGACACTAAGGCACCCAAGTGCCCAGCTGGCCATGAACTGGCCCCCTGGTGCGCTAAGTCCGGGGCCTCGTGCTGCGGCCAAATGCCGCCTGGCACCTGGCTTGCTGGACTCGACTCGACTCGAGGCCTGGCTGGTGCGATGGCTGCGGAGCCAAGATCAAGGCAGGACAGCCTGCGCGCGGCTCAGATCACTGCATCGCTTGAGCGGCTTGGAGTTCAGAGCTCGGAGATTGAGGTCATGGACTGCAGACAATGCAACTACTACCTTTGCAGGATCACAAGATATCACAAGATATCGCAAGAAATCGCAAGTGTCAACTTGTTTTGCATCTTTGTGCCACAGGACCTGCGCTCCGCAGGCGGAGGCGCGGCAGGGGACACTCTGCGAGGCGCCAGGCACCAAAACCAACTGAGGCAGAGGAAGAAGCACCCTCCTTCTGGGGAGCAGTGGCTTCACTAACAGACATGGGGACGCAGCCTAAGAGATGCGCAATGAAGCATACGGATGCTGAGCTTCGCCGCGAGGTCTGGCCCGGCCATCAGTAGCGCTTTGGACAACGTAGCCTTGAGCATTGGCGATGTCATTGATGCCGCTACCCAGGCGTCATGTTTTCCCATGCGACATGCCTGACATGTCTCAACGCCATGCGCAGGACATGTCGGAGATGGCATCAGACTTCAAGTCTTTTGTTGCCTCCGCGGTTGGCATCGAGGCGAGAGCGAGCGCCGAGCGCAGATTGCTGTTGTTACAGCTGCTCGAGCGAGGATGAATCGGGAGATGAGGCGGAGCGGCAGAAGGCCCGATCCGCCGAACTATGCCGAACTGGCCGCTGAGATTTAGCTCGTGTCGTGTTCTCCAGGCAGCCGCCATGAAGAAGAGCATAGAGAGTGTGTCTCCACGCTCCAGGCACTGGGACTGGGGGCAGGCAGTCCAAACCCCTTGAGCGTTCGCAAGACAGCTTCTTTTTTCTAGATGGCAGGCAAGAAGCGACATCAGCCATCTCCGACTTTTGCCAGAAGTATCCAGCTGCACGGGTGGGGCTGAGAGATGAAGAGAGATATAGAGAGATGCAGTCGGGAGCCAGCTTTGGGCGTAGGTGCGGCCAAATTCGCAAGAGCTGGAGAAGCTTTGGGCCAAGATCAGCTGCCTCAAGCCCGTGGCACTCACCAGTGCCTCGCAGCGATCTTCCGATCTGAGACAGAGTCAGAGCGAGACTTTGAGAGAGAGATTGAGTGATTGAGAGATTGAAAGAAACATTGCTGAGAGAGGGGTGTTCTGCGGGAGGGGTGCGTGACTTCTGCTGCTCCAGTTTCTCCATTGTTGACCTATTGCCCTGCTTGCGCCGAATTGCCAAATTGCAAAATGCTGCCAAGGTGAAAGCAGGCTGGGCGGGTTGTGAGAGGGAGAAAAGTAGGCGATACCGCAACCATCTTGCAGAGTTCCCGCTGGACGGATGTTGGGAGATACAGCCGGCGAGGCATTTCGGATTTCGGACAGCCAGGCGGCGAGATATTTGCAAACTGTCTTGCCCAGCGGCGAGATTGTGGTCCTTCACTGTTTCCAGCGGCGAGATTCTTGGCTGACAACACCAATCGCGGCGAGATACTCCAGGAGTAGCTCTCCGCCCAGCCCTGCCCTCGAGAACCAGAAATCTCTCCAACTTGGGCCTGGTGCCAACCCCCTCAAAGTGGAGAGCTACTCTGGGAGTAGCTCTCCGCGCCTATTTGTGGGGCCTTTCATGGGCTGATTTGGCCCAAGTCTGTCTGGTTAAGATTGTGTTGGTTCCTGAAGCACTCAGCAAGACTCCACAAATAGGAGCGGAGAGCTACTCCCAGAGTAGCTCTCCACTTTGAGGGGGTTGGCACCAGGCCCAAGTTGGAGAGATTTCTGGTTCTCGAGGGCAGGGCTGGGCGGAGAGCTACTCCTGGAGTATCTCGCCGCGATTGGTGTTGTCAGCCAAGAATCTCGCCGCTGGAAACAGTGAAGGACCACAATCTCGCCGCTGGGCAAGACAGTTTGCAAATATCTCGCCGCCTGGCTGTCCGAAATCCGAAATGCCTCGCCGGCTGTATCTCCCAACATCCGTCCAGCGGGAACTCTGCAAGATGGTTGCGGTATCTCCTACTCCTCTCCCTCTCACAACCCGCCCAACCTGCTTTCACCTTGGCAGCATTTTGCAATTTGGCAATTCGGCGCAAGCAGGGCAATAGCTCAACAATGGAGAAACTGGAGCAGCAGAAGTCACGCACCCCTCCCGCAGAACACCCCTCTCTCAGCAATGTTTCTTTTGAGTATCTGAGGTGCCTTTTACGAGGAGCTTAGCTTCGCCAATGGCATCAGGCTCAGCTTACTCATGGCTTGGCCATAGTCATGGCATTCTCCCCTGGAGTGATGTGCGATTCCGAGGCGACACGTCCTGGCAACCACGGCTCCGTGTGCGCAGCCTGAGATCTCCAGCAACCCACCTGACATTCGAATCGACATTTAACCATTCGATCAGGTCCTGTACGCCCTGGAACACCTCTTCAAGCAAGGCGGTACGGGCAAGGACACGGGAACACCATGAGGCAGTCATCAACATGTAACGACATGGGGCACGGGTTTGCTGCTTTGCTCGTGTGTGGTGCCAGGAGGTAGCGATGAGCACCTTTGGACAAGCAAGAGGGCTCATCCAGCATCTTGTAGAGGCCGGCATGTCATTCACCCAGAAAGGGGCTGTGGTAATGCGTCGGTTTGCTCGCAAGGTCCAGCAGTGCTCTGACAAGGCTCAGGAGGTGGGCTGATGTGGGCTGATGCATCGAACTTCTCTCCTGTAAGATTGTCAGATCAGGTCACGAAGCTGTTCACCGGGAAGGTTGAGGAGCACATGAGAGACGAGAGATGAGTCGGTTGAGCTCTCTTGCGTCTTTCAGAGACAGGAAGATCCCGGTTCCAAAGCTGACACTGAAGGCACAGACAAGGCTCAGTCAAATCACAGTGCAAGGTTGATATCTGATATCTTTGATCGCTCTATGTTGCTCTATGTTGCTCTACTTGCTTGTGCCCCGCCTTTTCCGACTTGACCGACTGCGTGCCGTGACCTGGTCACAGGCGAAGCCGGCAGTCAAGGCCGTGCGGCCTGAGCCAGAGGTTGGGAGCTGATGGGCTGAGCTGATGGGTCAGAGTTGGTCGGAGTGTAGTGAGGCCGCACCAGACCTGCTGGACATGTCGGAGCCTGCACCAGGCCAGGAACCTGGGAGCGTTTAGGACGGTATTTTCTGGGCCTGCGGCCTCTAGCCGGCTACGCCTCTTTGAAGTTATACCATGTCATGTCATGTTTTTTGTATGAGAAACATATTAGTTGCTATGATATGGTTGGTTAGGTTATGCATGTTGCCCACCCCAACCCCAGATGATGTTTTGTAGAGCGAGGGCCCAGCATCGCCGGCATGCCCGGCAGCGCTTGGCGCCAAAATGCGCAAGAATGAGCCTCGCTTATATCCCTCCGACACCTTCTAAAAACATGGATGGCCGATGCGATTCGGCTCGATTCGATTTTCCAATCCGATTCGACCAGCTTCCAGAAACAGCGTGCTCCCAGATGTGTTTTCCCGGCCCGAAAGTGCATCTAGACGAGCGGTTGATTTTTAAGGCAGCTCCTAGAAGGAGCATGCTCCCAGATGCGTTTTCCCGGCTCCGAAAAATGCATCTAGACGAGCGGTGGATTCTCAAGGCAGCTCCTTCTAGGAGCATGCTCCCAGATGCGTTTTCCCGGCTCGGAACAATGCATTTGGACAAGCGGTGGGTTCTCGAGGCAGCTCCTAGAAGGAGCATGCTATGCGTTTTCCCGGCTCCGAAAAATGCATTTGGACAAGCGGTGGGTTCTCAAGGCAGCTCCTAGAAGGAGCATGCTCCCAGATGCGTTTTCCCGGCTCCGAAAAATGCATTTGGACAAGCGGTGGGTTCTCGAGGCAGCTCCTAGAAGGAGCATGCTCCCAGATGCGTTTCCCGGCTCGGAAAAATGCGTCTAGACGCGCGGTTGATTTTTAAGGCAGCTCCGAGAAGGAGCATGCTCCCAGATGCATTTTCCCGGCTCCGAAAAATGCATCTAGACGAGCGGTGGATTCTCAAGGCAGCTCCTAGAAGGAGCACGCTCCCAGATGCGTTTTCCCGGCCCCGAAAATGCATCTAGACGAGCGGTTGATTTTTTAAGGCAGCTCCTAGAAGGAGCATGCTCCCAGATGCGTTTTCCCGGCTCCGAAAAATGCATCTACACGAGCGGTAGATTCTCAAGGCAGCTCCTAGAAGGAGCACGCTCCCAGATGCGTTTTCCCGGCCCCGAAAAATGCATCTAGACGAGCGGTGGATTCTCAAGGCAGCTCCTAGAAGGAGCATGCTCCCAGATGCGTTTTCCCGGCTCCGAAAAAATGCATCTAGACGAGCGGTGGATTCTCAAGGCAGCTCGTAGAAACAGCATGCTCCCAGATGCGTTTTCCCGGCTCCGAAAAATGCATCTAGACGAGCGGTGGATTCTCAAGGCAGCTCCTAGAAGGAGCATGCTCCCAGATGCGTTTTCTTGGCTCCGAAAAATGCATCTAGACAAGCGGTGGTTTTTTTGAAGGAGCATACTCCCAGACTCCAAAAAATGCATCTAGACGAGCGGTGGATTCTCAAGGCAGCTTC